CAATATACTAATCAAGGGTGGCGTCTAGTAACACTCTTTAATGACCGGATAGAATGAAGTATACAATTTACTCTCAAGAGCCAGTAGAAGAATAATATAGTAATTTCTTCTGTCCTTATAGCTCCGGGTCACCCTAGGATATGGTTCAACTGTCAAATCCTAATAGGCGACCAACTATGTGTTCATGTCAAATATAATCTACCATTGAATGACCTAAGAAACTCTTTTCTTCTTTCATTCAATTGCCCTGTCCAAGGTCTTAGTTTTGTCGTTTATAATTCATGACAACATGGAGCTTAAACTCATTACCAAGAGTTGACAGATTTCATCTTGATCAATCACTAATTCTACAAGTATTTAATCATACCCAATATCTTTTTAACTATCGCCCTAGGGCCATAGGTGTCTAGTATCAAAGCACAATAAATAACTTGTCAATTACTATGACGATCTCAGGTCAACGGAAATTCTTACATCACATTCTTCAAGAGAATATCCTATTGACAATTTATGGTAATTCTAACAATTAGGAATTATCCAATGAGTCGGTTCAATGATCATATCTCTATATGCATCATTTATCTATGTGATTTAGTTAATGAGATCAACTAATCTTTATCCAATAAAGACGATCACATAAATATTGATCTAACCAGATTACTAATGTCCAAATTAACAATCCATGATCAAGAACAAATTTAGATTAAATTATAAAAAACTTCACTCTCATTATCATGATCTTCATCATAATGTCAAGTCTTAAAATTTAATCAAGGACCTTATCAAGTTAATAAAATAATTAATAATAACTATGATAAAAGAATATCAGATGCCATATATTTTTATATTAAATAATATTCGCAAAAATATGTTCAAATCATCAAATGTGAGATTGGATCTAGGGCATATCTACTATATCCCTAATAATTTCCCAGTTGCACTAGAGTCAATCGTTATTTCTTCTTTCCCAATTTTCACTTGTGCTTGGCAAATTCCTTTCCGCCAAGAGCTTTAATGAATAGGTCTGCAACATCTTCCGTTCCATCAACCTTTTGAATCTCAACGTCTCCACGTTCAATGATCTCTCTTATCAAGTGATACCTTCAAAGAACGTATTTGGATTTTTGGTGTGATCTTGGTTCTTTTGCTTGAGCAATAGTTCCAGTATTGTCACACAATAATGGAACTGCACCTTCTATTGAAGCAATCACACCAAGTTCAGTTAAGAACTTTTTCATCCGTACAGCTTTCTTAGCAGCTTCACTAGCTGCTATATATTTTGCTCCAGTCACTGAATCAGCTATTGTAGCTTATTTAAAACTTTTCCAACTCACTGCACTACCATTTAAGGTGAATACATAACCAGAAATATATTTGCTATTATCTCTATCTAAAGAGAAACTTGCATCAGTATAACCTTTAAGTTTCAACTCAGAATCTCCATAAATGAGGAATTGGTTTTTAGTCCTTAAGAACTTAAGAATGGTCTTCACCACCTTACAGTGTTCCTCACCAGGATTTGCTTGATATCGGTTAGTCATTCCTAGTGCATAAGCCACGTCAGGATGTGTACATGTCATGGTATACATGATAGCTCCGACTGCACTAGCGTATGAGATCATACTCATGTGTTTTCTCTCTTCAAGTGTTTTAGGACAATCCTTCATACTGAGAGTAATTCCAGTGCCAATCGGTAGATAACCTCTTTTCAAATTATCCATGTTATACCTCTTTAAGATGGTATCAATGTACAAAGACTGGGAAAGTCCAAGCAGCTTCTTTGATCTATCTCTATAGATCTTTATTCCCAATATATAAGTTGCTTCTCCCAAGTCTTTCATGGAGAACTATTCAGATAGCCAAATCTTGATACTTGCAGTGCCGGTATATCATTCTCTATGAGCAATATATGATCAACATACAGTACTAAGAATATAATTGTGCTTCCACTAGCCTTTTTGTACACACAAGGTTATTCTTCGCATCTAACAAAATTGAACTTTTCAATTGTCTTGTTAAAGCGAATATTCCAACTTCGAGAAGCTTGCTTTAGTCCATAAATGGATCTCTGTAGCTTGCAAATTTTATTATGATCAGACGGAGATGTGAAACCTTCAGATTGTGTCATGTACACATCCTCTTCTAGCTCACCATTAAGGAAAGTTGTTTTCACATCCATTTGCCATATTTCATAATCATAGTATGTTGCTATAGCAAGCAAAATCCGAATTGATTTGAGCATTGACACAGGAGAGAAAGTATCGTCATAGTCGACTCCTTCTTTCTAACGATATCCCTTGGCAACAAGACGGGCTTTGTAGGTCTCCACCTTTCTGTCTCCTCTAATCTTTTTCTTAAAAACCCATTTACAACCTATAAGTTTTATATCCTTTGAAAGTTCAACTAAAGTCCATACTTTATTTTCCTTCATGGATTCCATTTCGGATTCCATGGCCTTTTGCCATCTCTCATAGTCAGAACCTTGTATAGCCTCTTCATAGGTCTTAGGGTCGTCATCATTATAATCAACGTCATTTGATACATCTATCTAATTTGATACTATGTTAAACTGCCTAACCACCTCATCTAAAAGCTTATGCGGTTAGTGAGGACATACCTTTATTTACTTAATAATATCTGTGCTAAAAGAATCAGATGATATAACTTCTTGATTTAACTAAAGCAGACTGAGTAATAAGTAGGACGTCCTGCAAATAGTTCTTTTTTTTTTTTTGGAACAATAGGAAGTCTTTGATACTGAATTCACCAGTCTTATTGAATGTTTAGTTCCACCTGAAGTTCCATCTTAGGTTAAGTTCCACTTTAACCAAACACTTAGAGATGATTATTATTTTGCCTTTGTCACTTCCTATTGAATTTTCTTTTAATTACTAAATGGCAATTCCCGTTATTGTTCAAGAAGCAAATGAATCAAAGGATCAGCTGTATGGTGTTCTTTTTTGTTTTTTTGGCCTTTTGTTGTGTTTAGCTGAACCAAGTTATTTCAGGTTTGAATCAAAATTTATCCGTATTATCATTGAGGAAGTCTTACACGAAGTCAAATCTCGAACACCCCTTTATGTTACCAAGCACCCCGTGGCTCTTTCTCCCCGTGTTAATCAAATAGAGAAGTTATTGTTCAAAGGAGACGGTGATGATGTTCGTGTGATTGGGATTCACGGCATGGGTGGAATTGGCAAAACAACTCTTGCAAAAGCTGTGTTTAACCAAGTTTTTCAGCATTTCGAGGCAAGTTGCTTTCTTGAAAATGTGAAATCAGAGGCTTCTGAAAGACATAATGGATTAGTTCATTTACAAGAGCAACTTCTTGGAACGATTCTTAGGAGAAAGATCAAAGTGCACAATGTGGATGAGGGCATTACATTGATCAAAGAAGGGATTTGGCAGAAAAAGGTTTTCATAGTCCTTGATGATGTGGATGATCAATGCCAGTTAAATGCATTACTTGGAGAACGTGATTGGCTTCGCCCGGGTAGTAGAGTTGTTATAACAACCCGAGACAAGCATTTGCTCAAAGAACTACATTTGAATGAGCAATATGAAGCCATGAAATTGGATCACAAAAGCTCTTTACAACTCTTCACTTTACATGCCTTTAGAAATGCACCACCGGCTGAAGACTATAGTATGCTTGTCGATGGCATTGTAACTTACTGTGCAGGAGTTCCACTGGCTCTTCAAGTTTTGGGCGCTTATTTGTCTGATAAAAAGATTGAAGAATGGAAAAATGCAGTGGACAAATTAAAGATGATTCCTTCTAACGATATTCATACAAAACTCAGAATAAGCTTTGATGGACTTCCTGATGATTTTACTAAAGCTGCTTTCCTTGATATTGCTTATTTCTTCTTCAAAATCCAGAAGAGTGAGGTCGTAGGTATATTCACAGCTTGCGGTTTCTACCCTGAGGTTGAAATTTGCGAATTGATTGACAAATCTTTGTTAACAATCGATGAAAATAAGCATTTGAATATGCATAATTTGATCCGGGATATGGGACGAGAAATTGTTCATAGGGAATCACCCGATAACCCGGGGAAGCGTAGCAGATTATGGTGCGCTAAAGACATTTCCGATGTACTCATAGGACACAAGGTATCATACTGTTCAATTCAGTTATTTTATAGACGTTGTTCATTTCTCAATAATTCTCTTCCAAGAGACGCCATTAGTATGTTAATGTTGTTAGGATTTTGTCCTATTTTCTTTCTTGTCTGATTTATCGTCACCAAGGTTTGTTTTATTAGCTTCCGAATAACGCCTTGTTATTTTCGATACCAACAAAGGTTACCCTTTTTCCTTGCTACAGGGCACAAAAGCAGTTGAAGGAATAGTCCTTGAATCTTCAGCATTGAAGGAAGTACCTTTTAGTACAAAAGCATTTGAAAAAATGGCCAAGTTAAGACTCCTACGCATCAATCATTTGCAGTTATATGGAAGTTTTCAGTATTTACCAAAGTCACTAAAATATTTGCATTGGCACTATTGTCCTTTGAAATGCTTGCCATCTGACTTTTGTCTGGAGAATCTTGTCATTCTCAACATGAGTTTTGGCAAATTCAAGGAATCCCAAGCGCCGTTAAAGGTTTGGCACGTCTTCTCATTACTGAATTTTCTGATCTTTCTATAATAAATTAAACAAAGAAGAAATCTTACTACTATCATTCTTATTTGTGTTCTACTTTTGGGAATCAGTATTTCAAGTGTTTGAAGAGCTTGGTATTCTACAGTTGTGAGTATCTCAAGAAATCCCCAGAGTTTGTTGGTTTACATAGTCTTGAGAAGTTATCATTTGGTTATTGCTCAAATTTAATGGGATTGGACTCAACAATTGGAGAATTGAAGAGACTTCGTATTTTAAACGTAGCTGATTGTAAGAACCTACGAGAACTCCCACGAAGAATCTGTGAGTTAAAATCACTTGAAATCTTATATCTCGATAGCTGCACAAAACTAGAAGAATTGCCTGATGATTTGGGAAAGTTGGAAGGTCTGAAAGAGTTGAATGCAGTTGCAACAGCTATTACAAGATTACCTGGTTCTGTTGGACATTTAAAGAACTTAGAGATGCTATTGCTATTACAGGACCTCGTATTGAAAAGACAATCCAAATTTTCGGACATATTCTCAACTTGGTTGCAACCAAAAGGAAGCCTTAGTAGAGTGGGATATTTACCTTCTTCAGTTTCAAGTTTAAGTGCTTTAAAAGTTTTACAAATTGAGAACTGGAATATGACTGAAGATGATATTCCTTTTTCTCTTGCGAGTTTATCATCTTTACAGAATCTATGTTTTAGCAATAATAAGTTTCATGTTATACCTTTCAACCTTTGTGACCTTTCTAGTCTCAAGCATCTGAATTTAAGCGAATGTCCGAATCTTAAAAGTATCCCTGAAATTCCTCCCACTCTTCAGAATCTCAGAGCTTATAATTGCAAGTCGTTAGAGAGACTTCCAAATTTGTCAGGTTTGAAAAGGTTGAAGGAACTGGAATTGTTTCGTTGTGAAATGTTGACGGAGATTCAAGGGTTGGAGAACCTTGATTCTGTTAGAGAAATAAGTTTATGGAGCTGCAAGAGTTTTGGAAGACTACTTGACGTATCTAACTTGAGTAAATTGAAGAACTTGGATCTTAGTCACTGCGAAAGATTGATAGAGATTCGAGGCTTGGACAACCTTCGTTCCATACGCTACATCAACTTATTCAATTGCAAGGGTCTCAAAAATCCTTTCACTGAAAACTTCTTCAAAGTAAGTTTAGAGTTCTACTACTAGGTGGAGTTAGTGGGAGGGACTAGGCTGTTGCTGATCCTGCTCTACTAGCTTTGCATTTTCTATTTTTCAACATTTAAAATCTTTTGAAGAGGTTCACTTTACTGTTGCCCCCTCTTTCTTCCTATAAATTGTACTTGCCTGAGCCGAGGGTGGGTCTCTGGAAACAGATTCTCTACCTGCATAAGGTAGGGCTAAGGTCTACGTACACACTACCCTCCCCAAACCCCACATGTGAAAATATACTGTGCATGTTGTTTGTTTGGTTCATTCTTGTATTCAATCTATCATATGGTATTACTTATCATGATTTGCGTGAAACAGGTCCATTATGAACATGGTAGTGAGCTCCAACTAGGGCTTTGCAACAGCAATGTTCCGAATTGGTTTAGCTACAAAGTAGATGGATGTTCAATGTGCTTCAATATGCCTCTACAAGTGGAGAGTACATTCTTGGGCATGTTTCTTTGGGTTGTTTATGGAACAGTGGATGAAACTAAAAATGTTTATCCTAAAGCCACCATTGTCGATGAAACAAATGGCGTTGAGTTTAACCATCGTCTGTGGACAACCATATCCTTTGCAGAAAACTCGTCCATCCATTACATACCACGAAATTACTTCAAATGTCCGGTTAAAGGCAGAGAAACGATGAGCATTCTTATTGAATGCTATGACTTTCCAACTGAAGATTTTGTTAAGAAATGTGGAGTTTATCTGTTGTACAAAGACAAGAATGGCCCGGTTCATTCTTTGTCTCCTGGTTTTCTTTAGAATCGCAACACGGGCTTGTGAAAGAGAAGTTAAGGCTAGTTTTCTGCAATTTCAGGTGTGATGATCATCTTCTCTTGTATTCTTTGATTTTAGTATAATTGACATGCTTTCGTTCTGCTTTTAAAAATTGTTACATCGCGTCAACTAAATTGCTGGTTGGTTCTTTGTCAGACTCATCTCAGTATCCTTGCATATTTTTTGGCTGTTAATGTTTATAGGAGATCTCTGATACGGGCAAAGGTTATGGCTTCCAAACCATCTCTTAAATGCGATTATCATATGCATATAATTAGTTTAAATGTTTATGATGATATATGAAATGGTGAATGTTTATGATACGTATATGATTTCATTTTGATGAATTCACAAGAATTATGATGTGAATTATGATTTGCTATGTATAATTGTTTTCCTAGAGAGGGAGCCGAGGGTCTATCGGAAACAACCTCTCTACCTCAGGGTAGTGGTAAGGTCTGCGTGCAAACTATTTGTTGTTGTAATTGTTTTCCTAGAGACTTGTCGTCTCACTTTTTGGAAGGAGGTACATAGGTGAGACTTATTATTGGATATTGGGTCATTCTATGTAAAAGAGACAAGTAAGTTATCCGTAAAGATGTTAATATGGAAAAGTGGGGAATTAGTTTTTAGAAGAAAACCATATCTTTTCTTCTTTAAAAGAAAAGCATGTATACGCCTTATACACAACTTGAAGATACAAAAAACTACTTAAATTCTCCCATAAAATACATAAGACAAAGATATTTTGTTCGTGGATAGAACTCTGTTTCCAAGAGAGATGAAGTCGACTTAGGATCAATTTGTTGGTTGTGATTTCTATTCTATTGTGTTACAGGTACACAAATTCATGTCCCAGTTATTGTATTTTACTTACAATGGTATTATAGCCATGTAAAATTGCATCCTTAGTCTGGATCTCCTCTGTTGAATGGTATATTTTTTGTGTATTCTGTGTTGGTTCCTGATATGTAATTCATGTATCCTAGTTGTGTTTAATTGATTTACTGCGGTGCCCTAAAGATCAATGTAAAGTGTATATTATAGTGTGATTTGACGTGGGCTTCTATAAAAGGATCCATGTAATTTTGTCAATTAATCATTACGGAATTTTTACATGGTATAACTAATATTTACTAGATATTTACTACCCATAACTATAGTTTGAAATAATTATAATACATAGCTAATGTTTGTCTTTTATAGCAAATTTACCATCCACAAACAATTTTCAGATCTCTTCCTCCTGCTCACAACCCTAAGAACCCATTTCTTTCCGTTTCTCATTGGTATTGTATTTCAAAAAGTAGCCACTAATGTAGATTCGTTTATCCTAACAATTATTGTCAAGGTTTTCTTGGTTATGCAAATAAAGGGCATTATATGAAGTTCGTTCTTCAAATAATCTATTTGCATGTGAGAATGCTATTATATTACGTTATTCTACAAGGCCGTCAATTATTAGTACTTATTCAAGTCATGCCAAGATATTAGCAACTTAGAAAACAAGTAACCCAACACACAAAAGATGTGTGACTTTTCTGTAGAAGATTCTAATAGTATTGAAGTTAATGTTGTTGGCATAACTCAATTAAAAGAAGAATATATCGAAGGAAATAGAATAAAGCATATTTTACCAAAGTTGTTTTGCCAGATGTGATCTTTAATAGAATGGTAAAATAGATGTTCAACAAATTCGTTCAAGTCATAAATTGGCGGAATAGTTCACTAATCTTTGGCGATCTCAACATTTGAAAAGTTGGTATATAATATTGGAATGTGTTATCTCCAAGAAATAAAATAATGTTTTCATAAGGTTTTTAATTAGGTAGCTCTTAATATGTATTTCAAGATATGTGTATTCTTTTTCCTTCACTAAGCTTTTTCCCACTGGATTTATCCTAGTAAGATTTTAATGAGGCACAATATCTGTTAATAGACATCCAAGGAGGAGTGTTATGAATACACGAAGTAGATGTCCTATCGATGAACTCTTTGAGATACATCTATTTAGTTAAGTCATCACTTAATATTTATAACATTTGGATAATATTCTTGTAATCTTTCCCCATACCATATATCCTACAAATAAGGTACTCTTTACCCTATGGAGGACACACAAGAAACACACTTGAATATACGAAAGTGAAATTAAGTATATACCTACATGAGAACGATTGGAGATCAAGAACATTATTCACTTTTAAATATTTGTTTACCCGTAAAACGGTACAGTTGAATTTATACGTAATTTCTTGACAAATGAACTAATTTGATCCTGAAATAATATAATAATCGAAGAAATACACAGTACTTAGCCTTGGAATGTAGATGAAATGGCAAAGATAGTGATTCCGTGAATGCAGTTTTCGAACACAGCAATGATGAGATTAAAAAAACAAGATAGTAAAATTGTATAAAACTTTATATAGAATATAGTATATGTTGTTGCCAGAAATTTTGTGTCCTTTATAATGGTAATTGAGCTCACTATTTATAGCTATACCTAGGGAAAAAGGTATTAGGATCATGCCCTCATTTAATGCCAATTATGAGGGTCATTGATGAAGATTTAATGTTGAGTGTAAATGCCAAATTCATTGTAACGGACCGTTGCCCTTAATGTTATAGACTATTCCTTAGTAAATACTACCGGGCACAGAGCATTTAATATACTTTTATGAACGTTATCCGTTCCGGTGACAAGCGTAGTGACTGCGTTCTGTCCTCAGCCATTCCATCTTGGATTCCACGTGTCCTCCTTTTAGTCAGTCACATGTCATATCATATTTTACCCTATACAGATAGTCCCCCTGCTTTCCGGTGACATAACTTTGTGTTACCGGAAAGTTGGTAGAAATATCTTTTTGGCGGGAATTACTATAATTTCCTCTGAAAGTCGCTTACAGTTGATTAGACGCACATCTCTTCACATTTAATGGTCCGGACACGCGTCATCCCATGATTCAATACAGTTTTTGCCGATTATCAAGGTAATCATGGCCATGAATTTAGCCGCCAAAATTTTACTTGTACGCAACTTTCTTTTCCTTAGCGTTTCACAATTGCCTGAGCTTCTGATTTGCATCCTTATTTTTCATCCTTTTTCTAATTTGTTTCAAACACAAACTATTTAGCTTCTTCTTTTCCAATGGCTTCTTCCTCCAAACGTGGTGGTTCTACAAAGAAAAAGAACAAAACCAAGGATTATGTTCCTTCAACAGTGGATTCCATCATCCCAAGAAGGCTTAGTACTTCGAAGGATTTTGAAGAGAAATTTCCTACTACTAACCCTCGTACATGGGTTGTTAGTAGGTAACTTCTTCAATTCGTCCTTCCAGTATTCTTGCTGTGAAGGAGGACTGCCGCTGCAATGAGTTGAAAATTATCGCTCCTGATCTATCAGAGCGAGTGACCCTTCCCAAGGAAGGTTTTACATACTTTTTCATGTATCTCTTTACTTTAGGTGCGTTTTCTTTAAGCGGAGAGCTTGATTCTGTGATTGCGGAGTTTTGCCTTCACTACCAGGTATGTTTGGCACGAGTAAGTCCTTCAGTATGGAGGACGATCGTCTACCTCCGATGCTTGTGCCAAGAAACTGGGGAGGAGCTAACCTTAGCTCATGTGATGAATCTCTATTCCCCAAAAATCTTTTGCGGGGGAATGATAAACCTTTGCAAGCGTGACCATCATGCTTTGTTGTCTAGCATGGATGATGACAATGATTGTAGGTGGATAGAACAGTTCATTACAGTTGCCACCAACGACATCATTCCGACAACGATTTTATCCTTTCCGGTTGCTTGGGACCACACTCGTAAGTTCTTTGTATAATATTCCTCTTACTAGATATTCTTCTATAGTCATATCTTCTCTTCACCCTTTGTATGTTTCAGCAACTCGATGGCTCCTACCGGTGGTGGAAGGTTTGAACCGGTGGGTTCAGAAGATTTTGGACGTCACAATGCCCGAATTTGTTCGTGGAAAGAACTGGCCCTTAAATAGGTAGAAGGCCAAAAATCATGGTAACTCTAGTTTACCTTGCCTCCATTTTTAGTATATGAAGAACTTGGTTGAACCCTTCTGGTCTACCTGCAGGCTCTATTGCTGTCCTCGAGGAGGACAATCTGGTTGATCCTGCTGATGCAACGAGGCTGCTTCAGGAAGCACTTAATCGAACATGTATCTTCGAGCCTGTTTTGGGTGCAAATACTTCTTCACGGAGTCCCCTGTCGGAGGATAAACTAACAAAGAGAAGACGCTCTTTCGCGGACAAGGAAAAGAATAAAAGGGCAAAGGTTGTTGCCATCGAGTCATCTCCAGTGGCGATGATGACTGGTCCTCCTTCTGGGTTGGTCGTAGACACCGTGATGATTGATGATGAAGAAGCTGTTGATGAGGGAGTTTCTTTACACAGAAGGTGACGATCCTCATCATATCAACAAGATGCTCAACATGTTGAGATAGTTACACCAACTGAAGACAATGTCTCGGCAATTTGGGGAAAGTCTGATTTGGTAGAATATGCCAACTCCCATTTTTGGGCCCCAATTACTGCAACCAATTCTACAGGGCTGAGTACTAGGTCCTTGCCATCCTTGGTTGGCGAGCACCAAACAACCAATACTGCATTTGATGCAGCTGCTTCTCACTCTTCCACTCCATCAACTTCATCTCCACCTTCACCAACCCCAGCAACTGCTATATCATTTCCATCTTCGTCTACTCTTCCACCAGTGGTTGCTACACCATCTCCATCGGCCGCACCTGACATAAAGAAAGTATTCCTCTTCCACAGTCTCCAGTTCATGGGAACTTGGGGAAAAATTATGTTGCTCCTTCGGAAGATCCACAAAAGAGGAGGAACATCACTCTTTCGGTCTCTACCGGGTGCAATCTGCTATCGCGGCCGGTGGAGCTTGCTAATTTCCTGAAGCCTTTGGCTTCAGGAAAAGACTGGGAAAAGATTCATACACTCTCGGGAGAGTGTTTGTTGAACAATGCTATGCATAACTGTTACAACCCATATTTTTGTACGTGAAAGTACGTCGTAAGTTAATTGATGTAAGCTTGAAAATGAGATCCTCTTTGAAAGTATATAAAGTGCTTTAATGATGTTACGTCCCATTTTTGCAAGCCTTGAAGAGTTATAATT